TTAAATGCCTGTTTAGGGTCTGCGAAAAAGCGGATATTCGATCCGCTCTGGGTTTTTTAGCAGCCCAAAAAAACCCAAATAATTTTTTCTTTTCTCTTTCCCTTTCTTTCCTTTCCTCTTTCCAAGTCTTTTCTTTGTCATTTTTCCTTTTCTTATCTTCTTCCTATTCCTCTTACTTAATCTCATTTTATTTTTTCCAGATCTAAGAAATCAGACAAGAGGAGTTAATTGGGTTTTGTCCTGTTCTTGGCTTTTGGAGAATCAGTGTTCTTGGTTTTTGGAGAATGGATTTAGTTTGCGTTCTGGTTTTTTTTTTTTTTTTTCCCCATTTTTTAAGACCTTTTTATTTCCATTTTCTCTGGATTTTTTTTTTTTTTCGACAGTGTGTTTGGTATGGAAATATGTGGGTGGTGTTTATGGTGGTGATTCAAACTTGGCTGGTGGTGATTCGAATATGGGTGGTGGCGGTTGACAATGAACCTAATTTTTTGGTGGAGGTTGCGATTTGATTTTAAATTAGATTTGATTTTAATTAATTGGCATTGAAAGAGATTTGTGGCAGATTTGATTTAGATTTCAGATCTTGATTAAAGGTTTAGATTTTAGATTTTGATTCAGATTCATATTTTGATTTTGATTTGATTTAAAATTCATTTAATTTTGAGTACTATTATACTAGTTCACTTGAAAAGGCAAGAAAAACAGATTTAGATTTTAAATTTTTTGGAATATTTAATACTTAGATTAGAACCGGATTAGTCAAAAACTGGACCAGATTTGGATCGATTTTAATCCTAATCCGAAAATTCAGATTGGATCAAAAAACAAGCAAATCAGATCAAATATCCGGTTTTGAACACCCTTACCAAATAATCTTCACTTTCCTACTTTCATCTATCTTCAAAAAGCTCAAAACCTCATCAAACACATTTCTTATTCTCCAAGTTAGTAATTAACAAGAGAAAAGGTTAACCACATATTCTAACTAATCTGGAACATTTCTTATTCTCTAAATTATTAATCAACCAGATAAAAGGTTAACCACATATACTAACAAATCTTTCAAATTTCTTATTCTGTAAGTTATTAATTAACCGGAGAAAAGGTTAGCCACATATTCTAACCACATTATTAATTTCATTTTAATTGGTTTGTCACATAATTAATGAAGCTTATTTAGGTATACATAGAGGGACATCTTACTTGTATATGCATACATACGATGGCCCTCTTGCAATATTATTACTTAATCTTGTCATTACTCTACATAATCTTCACTTTCCTACTTTCATGTATCTTCAAAAAGCTCAAAACCTTATCAAACATGTTTGATATTCTCTAAGTTATTAATTAACCAGAGAAAAGGTTAACCAAATATTCTAACTAATCTTGTGCATTTCTTATTCTCTGAGTTATTAATTAACCAGAGAAAAGGTTAACCACATATTATAATAAATCTTGCACATTTCTTATTCCATAAGTTATTATTTAACCAGAGAAAAGGTTAACCACATATTCTAACCACATTATTAATTTTGCTTTAATTGGTTTGTCACATAATTAATGAAGCTTATTTAGGTATAAGTAGAGAGACATCTTACTTGTATATGCATACATACAATGGCCCTCTTGCAATATTATTACTTAATTTGGTCATTAGTCTGCATAATCTTCACTTTCCTACTCTCATATATCTTCAAACAGCTCAAAACCTTATCAAACACATTTCTTATTCTCTAAGTTATTAATTAACTAGAGAAAAGGTTAACCACATATTCTAATTAATTTTGCACATTTCTTATCCTCTAAGTTATTAATCAATCAGAGAAAAGGTTAACCGCATATACTAACAAATCTTGCACATTTCTTATTCTCTAAATTATTAATTAACTAGATAAAAGGTTAACCACATATACTAACAAATCTTGCACATTTCTTATTCTGTAAGTTATTAATTAACCAAAGATAACGTTAACCACATTACTAATTTTGTTTTTAATGGTTTGTCACATAATTAATGAAGCTTATTTAGGTAAAATTGAGGGACATCTTAATTGTATATGCTAGAGATGAGCATGGGTAAAGCGTAGAATAAGAACCAACGAGTACCGACCCTCTGGTTCCAGGTAGGGACTGAAACAGGCCTCATTAGGGTTCGATTTTGGTTCCAATTTTGGAAAATTGGAATCAGAAATTTTCGGGTTTTGTTTCGATTCCTATATTGCTGGAATCAGGAACCAGAATCAGAATGAAGCTTCGAGTACCTGGGTAGGAACCAAGACTAAATTATAATTTTTGTAAACTTTAAGGATGTATTTGTAATTTTTTGGGGGAGTATTTGTCATTTTTTAAAAGTAAGGGATAATTAAATTAACCCAGGTACCCGAAACCTATGTTTTAGGTTCTAATTCCAAGTTTCTAGGAACTAGAATTAGCCAGGTTTCGATTCTAAATCTTAGAAACTGATCGGTTCCTGTTCTGATTCCAATTTTGATTCCGATTCCTTCAAAAAATGTAGTACCCGGAACCGCTCACCCTTAGTATATGCATAAATACAATGGCCCCCTTGCACTATTATTACTTAATCTTGTCATTAATATGTATAATCTTCACTTTCCTGCATTCATCTATCTTTTAAAAGCTATAACCTCATTAAACACATTTCTTATTCTCTAAGTTATTAATTAACCAGAGAAAATGTTAACCACATAGTCTGACTAGTCTTGCACATTTCTTATTATCTAAGTTATTAAGCAATCAGAGAAAAGGTTAATCACATATTCTAACAAATCTTGCACATTTCTTATTCTTAAAGTTACTAATTAACGAGATAATGTGTTAACCACATAATCTGGCCACATTATTAATTTCGCTTTTAATGGTTTGTGACATAATTAATGAAGCTTATTTTGGTATAAATAGAGGGACATCTTACTTGTATATGGATACATGCAATGCTCCTCTTGCCATATTATTGCTTAATCTTGTCATTATACTCTGCATAATCTTCACTTTCCTACTTTCATCTATCTTCAAAAAGCTTAAACCCACATCAAACACATTTCTTATTCTCCAAGTTATTAATTACCTAGAGAAAATGTTAACTATATATTCTAACAAAACTTGCACGTTTCTTATTCTCTAAGTTATTGATTAACTAGACACAAACGTTAATGACATAGTCTAACAAATCTTGTGTAATGAAATATTGGAATTACGTAGCAGAATATAAAACAAAAAATTTAATCCCAATTACAATAAACCCAAGATCAGGGTTATGATTATATGTGTATTTAATTAATAAATTTATACTAGGTTTAATGAGAACTTACTATCATTAGAGACTCTGTCACTTTAATTTTCCTTCGACAAATCAGTCAAAGCATAGGATTGCACGAATTTGTCCACGCGAAAGCACCAAAGGATCAAGAGGAAAAATCAATAGCTAGATTAATTTGAGAATATACAATTAGGTTTTTCTTTTAGGGTTGGAGTTTAATATAAAATAACTTTAAACTTTTTCCCTCAATAAATAGTAATAGGCGGCAACCCTAGATTAAGTGGGTAATTTATACTCAATCACTTTATAAAATTACCAAAAGGCCCCTTATGATAAAATTACCTAAAGGTCTCTTTCACTGAAAAAAACCCTAAATCATCTCTTTTGACTCGGTTTATTAAAGAGATCAAAATTTTCTCTACCAATTCTAGATATGATATCTAAAATTCCAGAAATAAGATAGTTCATTCCATAAACCCCCAAAGTATTAACCTTTACAATTCAACCTTCTTTTGTGTGTGACCTATAGGTACTCTATAATGTTGTTAGTGAACAAAATCATGATTAATCTACAATTAATCGTCTTTATATTCATAGACTAAGATTGACATCTAGCAAGACATCATAGCCATCCAAATGATAGAGAGTCAGCAGAAGACATATACCTATCAACAGTATGGTTACCGTGTAATCAAATATTTTTATTATCTGTTATCTCATCAAGGCTAAGGCACGGAAATAGTGACTATCTCAAATACTCCCTTCATATATATTGGTATTTGGTTATTGGATCAACGACCGAACTAAATCTGATTAAGTAACAACTCAATCTTACTGCAGCCACAGATTTGTAGTAGTTGTCATTTAACCAAACTTTACTATGAGATTACTTCTCCAGTACCTAGGAGTGGTGAATCATTTGTTGATCCACTGTAGTCTTAGTGCACTTCTCAATGTAGTTAATCACTACCATTTTTATAGTTCTAAGAAAAAAACTACATTAAGCTAGTATCAAACTACACTAATAGATGCACAAGACACTCCAATGATCTTAAGTCTAAGTCTAAGGATCACGTGCATTACCAACCGTTAGAGATTTTTTTTCATAGACACTGGGGTTACCATCTATATAGAATCATCTGGTGAGTCAATCAAGTGAGGTCTATCACTATATTTCGGTAGGATCGTTCAACGCTACGATAGTCTTATCGTATTAACTATGTCTTTGGTTAAAATAATATTGGGGTTATGGACATTTTTATAATGGCCACCTCATGTGCTCATAGGGTTCTCGCAATCTAAAGTCAAAACACACTTGATCCTCTTGTCATGATTCTACTATTCTAAGGACGTATATCATAACATATTTATAAATATGAAAAACAAATTAAATATAGAAAATGTTTTTTATTAACAGATAAGTATGATACAAAATTAGAGTCAATTATAAGATTTTATTGGCTTTAGGGCACCTACAGTGACAGATGTAATGTGTGAGGAGAATCAGATTTGGAGCTTGATGTAAGTGAGTCTATTGAAGCTGATCTGGATGGAGTAGATTGATAGCCTGTGGAATTACCAAAAACAGACACTTCATTAGTGGAATGTAGCTCTTCTTTGGTAAATAACATAACAGTAAGTTTTTTTTTTTTACTATATGTACTAGCTAATTAAGAGATGCTCTGCAAATTAACTAAAGAAGTCCATTCCTCCTAAAACAATGGCCACCGTTAACGTAGGCATGCAATGGTACTTCATAATCTCCTTATTCATCTTCATTATGTGCACCTTTCTTCTTCGCTTTCTCTTCAAAAGGCCAACCAGTTCATCAAGCACCACCCACTTGCGCCTCCCTCGAAGCCCACCTGCTCTTCCTCTCATTGGTCATCTCCATCTCATGAGCCTAACAGTCCACAAATCCGTCACTGATATCTGCCATAAATATGGTCCTCTCCTCTATCTCCGTATTGGATCTATGCGCTGGGTTGTTGTTTCATCAGGTGCTGTGGCCATGGAAATCTTCAAAACACATGATATTAACTTTTCTTATCGCCCACAATCTGTTTTTAGGGATAGTATATTCCTGGGAAATCTTGGGATGTTCACTGCACCATATGGAGATTACAGGAGATTCATGAAGAAACTTTGCGTTAATGATCTACTTGGAGCGCGGCACCTTGAAAAGTCACGTAATGTTAGACGCGAAGAAATTGTGCGACTCTTGAGCAAAATATTGGAGAAAGCTGGTAAAATGAGGTTGTGGACGTGGGTAGTGAGTTAGGGAAGCTTGCAAGTAGTGTCCTATTGAGGATGGTGACGGGTGCAGGATTTTCAGAGGGAAATTGTGAGGCTGATATGATGAAAGAGATGGTGGAGTCACTAGCGCTGACTGTCAAATTTTTGTCTGCTGAAGCACTAGGTCCTTTCAAAATATTAGCGTCCTGGTTGTTTGAGAAACTGGGTTGAGAGATAATTAAAAGGTATGATGAGTTGTTGGAAAAGTACTTAGAAGAGCATGAATTAAGAGCAAATGGAGATGGCGACAGATCCGAAAATAGAGATTTGATGGATATCCTCTTGGAGGTATATCATGATGAAAAATCGGAGTTCAAGATTACCAAAACAAACATCAAAGCCTTCCTTCTGGTATAAAGAGAATCCAATTAAACATTTTTAGTCAGTCCTTTCTTTTCTTTATTGAGTATTAAACATAATAGATTAAATAATATTCCTAAAATATACCTGCAGGATATCTTAATTGCTGGAATCAATGGCACAGATGAGACGGTAAAATGGGCAATAGCGGAGCTTATCAACCATCCTGATTCATTTAATAAAGCTAGGGAAGAGATTGAATCAGCTGTTGGAAGAAATAGACTTGTTGAAGAATCAGATATACGAAATCTTCCTTTTTTGCAGGCTGTGGTGAAGGAAACAATGAGAATTCATCCACATGTCCCTATAATATTCAGGGAACCCCATAGAAATTGTAATATCAAAGGCTTCGATATACCTGGAAAAACTATAACACTTATTAATGCATATGCCATAATGAGGGATCCTGAGTTTTGGGATAAACCAAACGAGTTCCGCCCTGAGAGGTTCTTGGTTTATTCCAAAGAAGAAGAAGATAGTGAGACAAAGAAACAACTTTTCAATTATTTTCCATTTGGAGGAGGAAAGAGAGCCTGCCCGGGTGCATTGTTATCATCAAACATCGTGAGTGCTGCAACAGCTGCAATGGTTCAATGCTTTGATTTTGAAGTTGAAGGCAGTAAGTTTAAACTGCAAGCTGGACCAGGAATGTCAATGCACTTGTCTCAGCAACTTATGTGTCGCCCTGTGGTTCACTTCAACCCATTTGCTCAAACATGATATTGTTTACTCAAGCCCGACATAACAAGTATTGATCAAGTAGTAATTAATTTTCTTTCAAGTGCTAATTGTCTAGAAAGGAATAAACTGGAAATCTGTAAGATCCTTCTGCAGATTTCTTTATTAATTGTGGCATTATATGTGTACAAAAAATTCTATCCTAAATAATGAAGCTTGATTTTGTCAATTTTTCCTGTACGCATCGCCAGCAAATAAATACACTAATGTCTCATTGTCTCTCAAAATTTTGAAGCTTCCTTGCTATAATTAATTATGTATTTCAACTAATACATCATCACAGTCTTTCTTATATACTAAATGATAAGAGAAAATATGAACATTGTGCTTTAACTAATGGTTTTTTTTTCTCTTGTTATAATTAATTGTTTTGTTAAAATATAACTTTCCAATAGTAAGCATAGTAACTATATAAATACCTGCTATGACATACGCAGCCACAAAGAGATTCGTAGCAGGGCACCGCGCATTCCCATGCTGTACTACGTACAATTTGTTTTAGTTGATCGTATTTTGCTGCTTATTGAGGGGATGAGGAGATGGTTGAAACTTGAAGTAGAATTGTTGGTGGCTTGCGTTATTTATCTGATTTATTTCTTGTTCTTGTTCGCCATGAACAGAGTGATGACCATAAAGATTAAAGCCAACAAGAGGTTATCGAGGTGGGGATTTCTTCTCTTTTCATGTTCAAGAAGCAAATGAGGTGAAATAAGAGAGAAGAAGCCATTGCGAAAACGGGGAAAAACCGGATTGACCCGGGATTTGAAGACCCAAATTGTTCCCTTTCCTTTTCTTGTTTCAGTAATGATTCTTCTTTCACTTTCCCTTTTCTTCATCCATTTGCTCCTTGTGCATGTGTACATGTTTGCTAATCTCAGCTTCGGTGACAGAGTTGATCATGTATGTACTCATTTCCATTATTTTGTTTTAGTTGATTGTGTTTATGTTGATGCGTAATGAAGGGAGAACTCTTAGCCATGGTGATTTTGTGTGAGGGAGAACATGGGGCTGTTGGACCTCTGGCTTTAATAGTTCAGGATGCTGTCTGCACAAGGATGGTGGGAATGGGACTGTTAGGCAGGCAAGGTGCTGGCTACTAGGCATGAGCTAATAAGTGCAGTAAGGTCATTCACCCTAATTCCGTCAAACTTAACGAAAAAAAGCTAACGATAAGGAGTTTAGAGTTAATACCGAACCAATGCAGTGTTTACAATATTGAGAACAAAGGTTAATGATAAGCAGATAGCATAATATTATACATATAATATTTTTATACAACACAATTTGTTAGGATAAGTTGATCAATTTTTAATTAAAAAAAATAAACTTTTATCCAATCATCTTTCGTCATATCATATTGTATAAAAATGTTATACGTACAATATTTCTCAAGTTGATAGCAGTGAATTAAAAAACTTTTTCCCACTTCTCCAAAAGTAACATATAAACATATTACTTATTTCTTCTGAATATATAAAATATGCAATTAATTATTCAAATTTATTTCAGATTTTAAGGTTTATGTTTATGTAATTGAAACTTATTATCAATTCTAAAGATGTAATCAAATGCTAATCTTGTTTTATCACGCTAACTCATCGTGTCATCATTAATCTTTGGTAATCTCTATATGCTGCAGTGAAAATCCCAAGATTTCCCAGGAATATACTATCCCCGTAAGGAGATGGAAAGCGATAAGAGAGGTTGACATCATGTGTTTTGAATATTTCCATGGCCACAGAAGCTGATGAAACAACGACACAGTGTGTAAAGCCAAAGCGAAGTTAGAGAAGAGGACCATATTTAGTGCCGATTTCAGTGAGGGATTTGTGGAATGTTCGGCTCATGAGATGGAGATGACCAATGAGAGGAAGAGCAGGTGGGCTTGAAGGGAGGCGCAAGTGGGTGGTGCTTGATGAGCTGGTGAGCTTTTTGAAGAAGAAAGGTGCAGATAATGAAGATGAATAAGGAGATTATGAAGTAGCATTGCATGCGTACGTTCATGGTGGCCATTATTGCAAGAGGATTGGACTTTTTAAATTACTTTGCAGAGCTTCTCTTAATTAGCTAGTATTTATAGCTAAAAAACTTCCTTCTGTTATGTTAATTACCAAAGGACAGCTACATTTTAACAAACAAAAAAATTACTTTAGCAAAAAGATCCAATAAAATCTATTAGATTATTTGGTTATTTTTTCATTGACCATCACTTAGATTATAACTAAGACTGTGTAATAGAGTAATTGGGAAACTGTTTCTGTAATTAAATTAATAAATTACATAGCTTAAGTTCCACATTTAATTCGGAGATATATTGAATATGGAATACAATGCTATGTGTTAGCACCCTTTAGCTTTAGTTATCTGTTGCCTCGAATTGATTAATTAATTACATGAACAGATCATCACCCACTATGTATCTTCAAAATTTTGAAACATTGATCAATTAATTAGAGAGACTCTATCTCAACTGCTTTAATACTGTCTTTCTTATAACCAAAGTCATGATCAGAGACAATAGAAACCACATATTCTAACTAAGTTTGTTCGATCTTCTAGTAATTGTTTGATAAAATCTAGCTTTCCATTGAAAAACAGAACATAATTAAGTTAGTTTTAGCCATGGAATTCTTCAAAACATGTTGGAGTTATGTCGAGCNACAGGTTCCAAACCGGGTACCCCCTACAGGTTCCAAACAGGGTACCCTTTTTACAGGTTCCGGTTCCGGTTCTGGTTCCTCCACATGCAAGAACCGGAACCGGAACCGCACAGTAGCGGTTCCAAAAAATTGGAACCGGAACCTACCCGCACAGTACAGGTTCTGGTTAGGTTCCGGCTCCAGTTTCGATTCTTACTCCCGGTTCCGGTTCTACCCGCTACCCGTGCTCACCCCTAGTGTTAATAGCTTCAATCACTTATAAAAGAATTGAGCATGGACGTGGGAATTCTAGTCCAACCCAACCTATCCCATTGACATTAGGGGTGAGCACGAGTAGCGAGTAGAATCAAAATCAGAACCGAAACCAGAACAGACACCTTGCGGATAGGTTTCAGTTCCATTTTATTGGAACTGACACTATACGGTTTCGGTTCCTATAGGTTTTGGAACCAAAACTTGGGAAAAGAACCTGAAGCGAGTACTCGGCTTGGAACCTGCTTGGAACTTGTTTGTGTTTTGGTTTTGATTGAGAAATTTTATGTGATTTGTAATGAATTGATTGAATTTAAGTGTTACCTAGAGATTAGAGGATTTATGGGTCACATTGGATACAAATGAATGAGTAATCAAAAGTTAAAAACTACTAAATGTAGGTTTTCTTAATTGATTAGGGGTGTATTTATAAACTTTTAAGGTATTTTTGTCATTTTTAAACTAATAGGGGGTAATTGATATTGACAAGGTACCTAAGTAAGAAATCGAAACCTGCATTTCAGGTTCTGTTTACCTGAAATTAGAACCGAAACCGACACGGGTCAGGTTCCTTCTTTTGGGAACTTGCACTGTGCGGTTCCGATTTTGGTTCCTTAAAAACATGTAGGGTACCCGAAACCGCTCACCATTTAACATCCCTATTTAAGCCGAGAAGTGAAAGGTGAATATATCCTTCCAATATACATATGTCGTCAGTGACTATATTGTGTACAAACATAGGAATTTGCTAGCAGTATAGCTGGATTTCACAACTATTTATGTAATGGTTCATATCATGCAAACAAATAAATATCAAGGATGATCGGCTAAATATTTTGCTAAAATCTAGGTTGTTCCTACCAGATATCACATGCATTTATGGGACCATACCATATGCACAATAATTATAATATTACATCATCAACCATGTGTAGTAGGCCAAGCACTTCATTTCGTGTGCTCTGAGTCGGATATATTTTTTCAGTAAGAGGTAATTTTATAAAGAATAATGAATTACACGTAAGAGGGGGGATACCCCAAAACTTCAACCTTTGCGATTAGCAAGAGGCAAAGAAGCTAAAAAAAGAAAAAAAATAAAAAAAAAAAAAGAAAAAAAAGAAAAAATAGCACACCAAGATAGGACGTACAATGCTAAAATCAACATCCTGAATCCAAAGAAAAATCAGGAGACAAGAAAGGCCTATACAAAATAGTCCATAAAGAGGCCCTCAAAACCATAAAGACAATCAACAATGCCCAGAAAAACGACTAGGAAGCTTAATGGGGCACCAACAGTTGGTGAAGGAGATCAGCAACTTCACAAACAAACAAGACAACACCCTAAATGCCCAGGACAAAAAAGTAGCACCTAGAAAAACAAGACAACAACAACAACACAACAACACAAGGAGCCTATTGACCAGAAGCCCAAAGAGAGAACCAAATATTAGTAAACATCTTTCCTTCCCTTCTTATCTTTCTCTCTTCCTTTCTTTTCTTTCTTACTCCCTACTCACTCCCTCCAGGTGTTGTCATTTGGTGCTCCGATCTAGCCAAGCAGTGGCCCGATCATAGCTGTCCGATCTGGCTAGCTACAAAGCCAAATAGGGCGGCCATGATTTGGCCACCACTTGGCTGGATTCCGACGAAATATCAACAAAACAACCATTTTTTTTTTTTTTTTAAGTTTTGAATTCAATAAAATTCGATTTGTTATAAGTTTGGTTTTATGAATAAAATTTGATTTGTTTTGAGTTTGGCTTTATGAGTTTGAAAAAGATTGGGTGCGGTGTAAGGGTGAAAACCGAGTCGAGCCGCTCATGAGCAACTCGAGATCGACTCAGTTTTGGCTCTAGCTCGGCTCGAAAATAGTCAAGTTGAGCTTGAGTTCGAGCTACTCGAATACTTATTCTAGTTGAGTTTGATTAGGGTACAACTTGACTCGAAAAGCTCTTGAGTTTTTCCACGCTCGAGGGTTAATTTGATAGTTTTTAAAGTTATAAGAGTCATACAAAATTTATAAGTTTTAAAATTTGCAAATTTATCCTTATTCAAATAATGTAAAACACGATTTGGGAATAAGAAATTAGAATCCCTAAATCACAAATATCCCTTTTCTCTCCTTTGTCGTTTCACTTTGAAAACCGAAATCGCAACTTCATTTCACCATCTTTCCCATTGCCTTTTTTTTCCTCTCCTTCACCCATCGCTATCTCCTCTCAGCCTCTCAAACTCTCAAGTATTATGAAAGAGAGATTAATAACTTATTCTATAATGCAAATAATGAATATTGTTATGTTTTTTGAGGTTACTCTTGGAATAGGAAGTTAAAAAGGAAATAAAGTTATTTTGTAAATTTTGTTTCCCCTTCGTTGGAACTTTGAAGTAAGCAGGAGGTGCATAAAAGCCACTTGGTTTGAACTTTGAAGTAAGCAGGAGATGTATGTTTGGTGTATTTTGATAATTTGATTCAGTTGAGTGTTATTCAAATATGTGTTGAAGAGAAAATCAGCAGTCTTCTTTTCTGGAGGATAAAAGAGAGCAAACCAACCCCTCTTTATTTTAGCTTTTTAATGAAGGAAATCTATCATCATGTAATTTCTTTTTCTTTCTTTTTTCCCAGGAGCTCGAATAATTGAGTAGATTAAAGCTTGATTTCGGCTCAATTAAAACTCAATTAAAACTCAATTAATCAAGCTTGAATTCGACTTTTAGGAATAGAGTTCAAGTTCGAACTCAATACCTTAGGCTCAACCAGGCTTGAACTTGAACTCGTTACTATAGCAACCGAGTCAAGTTCGAGTACCCAGATGCTTAACTCGACTAGACTCGATTTTACCCCTAGACTGCAGTGGTGAAGAGTGGATGCAGTGGTGAAATAAAATAGGGTGTGGTGGGGATGGCTTTGATGGAGTTAGATTTATGGTTTTTGAAACTTTCTCCCACTAGTGTAGGGAAAAATCCCCACAAGGACTTTTCCTCCTTGTTTGAGGCGGGAATGGGGATTCCCCGTCATCCCCATAGTGAGGATGGGAAATGGGACCCTTGGCCCCGCCCTGCGCCCATCTCTAAAATTAGAGTAGATGATACATTAAACATACAGGGTTAATACATCAATTGGTATGAAATAATTTGCGTAATTAATTTGTGCATGTAACATTACTCATAAAAAAAATTAGGGTTCGGTT